GGGCTCACCCAGGCTTGTGTTTCTTCTCTCTCTCTCTCTCTCTCTCCCACCTGGGAAATGTGATGAAGGGGGGTGGAGGGAAGAAGCTAAAAGTGTTGGAATTCTGTGTATTCATGTAATGTCTGAATTGTATGCCCCCTCTGCTTTCCACTGCTCCTTGAAGGAATACACTGGGGATGGGTAGTTCTCTGGGGAAAGGGCTAGAAGTGAATTCTTTGGCATGTTTCTCTCTTCCTCCTTCTTTCTTATGTGCCACCTCACCCCTCTCCCCTTTTCTCCCTGCAAATGGGAGAAGGGCACATTGCTCCTTCCCTTTTTCTCCTCCCATCTCTTCTCTAGAACTACAAATCCCCACTTCACCAAAGTACCCCACTTTCTTTCCAAGGCTAAATCTTTAGTGCTTTGTGTGTTTCTCCCCTCCAGGGGAGATCCTGCCACCTCTGTGACTTAGCACTCTTCCCCCCCCCCCCCAAGTCTCCCTGACTCAGGGACCCTTTTTGTGCCCCACTCCTGAACCTCCAACTTTGCTGGCCCTTTTTGGACCATTTTGAGAAAGGGTGTGCCATTCCACACATGAGTTTTTTTTCTTCCTCCTCCATTTCCTATTGTCCCAAGCCTGAAACACCTCAACCTTTCCTCCCCTCTTGCCTTCAACCCCCCCCCTTCTTTTTCTCCTCCTGAAAAGGGTGTTCCCAGTATCCAAACTCCTCTTTATACCACATTCCATTCTACCCCTATAGTCAGGGATATCTCTCTCTCTCTCTCTCTCTCTTACCTGGGAAGTGTTTGGAGAGGGAGGGGGGCCACAGAGGGATAGGGGAGGTGTAAAAAGGGTCCTTTTTTCTCCTTCTGTTCCTGTTTCTCTTGGCTGGGGGGGGGGGGGGCTGGGGAATGATTTATGCCCCAAGGTTTGTTTCTTTCTTTCTCTCCCTCTGAGAATCATGCCTAACAAAAATAGTTCCATGTGCTTGTATAATGTCTCTGAAATCCATCCCTCTCTCCCCCCACCTTCTTAGACTCCAATATTTTGTGGATTCTATTCCCCATCCTCCAGAGAAATCCTGCTGCTTCTGTGGTTTTAATTTCTTCTCAAACCTAAGAAAGGGAGGGTGGGAGAAAGGGTGCATTTCTCTCTTTTCCCTCTCCTTCCCATGCCAAGGGGACTCACTACCGACTGAGGATGCTTGCCATAGATGCAGGCGAAACATCAGGAGAGAATGCCTCTAGAACATGGCCATATAGCCCGAAAAAACCTACAACAACCCAAGGTTCCCCTTTGCCTTTATATAATTTATCCCATATGATTTCTATATTTTTCCCTTATGAATGTGACCCTTGCCTGACCCTTCTGCCATATTCCCTTTTATATAAAATGTATAAAAATATGGAAAGCCACCCTCAGTGACCTCGGAAAGGAGGTAATCCCCTGATTGAAAGGAAACCCTTACAAGGACATATTTGCATGGACAATACAAAGGGCACCGATCCCAAGTCTCGGAGTCTGGCTGCTTGGAGGAAATTGCCCACTTGGCATGATTGATCATATTTCAACAGGACAAAGGGCCTTCGGAAAGCCACAATTTGTCCTGATCTGTTTTCTTAGTTGTCTTCCATCCACCGAAACTACAGCCAAGATTGCTCCATTGTATCCATATCTCCGTTCAGGAAAAATCCGGATCCTGGCCCTCTCGTCAGACATCAGATGATGATTGCCATCCCTCAAGACAATAAGCTGGCCAGCTAGAAGGCCCCTGAGGACTCGCCAGCCATTTGGACACCACATATTTTCATAATCCTCTCAAGACTTCATTGTTTCCCTCTCGTCCCACCTCCCTCTCTCCTGATTGGCCAGGGGGCCGAGGCAGCAGGAGCTCACCCATTGGTTAAGGCGCTCAGGAGGCGGCCAAGCCTCCTCCCAGCTGTAGAGCGCCAATCAATCAGCGCCGAGCCAGCTGAGGGGTGGGGAGCAGGAGATTCAAATCTGACAGCTCTGTATATGTATAAAAAGGCTTAAATGCATGTCTGCTTGACGAATTATCGTGGTATGACATCCTTTCCAGCTGGATCGCAATAAAAAACTCGGTGGATTTCTTCAACTTGGTGAGACTTTTTATTGGGAAAAAATCAGAAAAATATTGGGTGCTTCTTTGTCTCGCCAGGGCAACGAACTCTTTGATGAGTCTGATTGGTCTCTGCCTCCTGGCAAAGACCCCTAAATTCTTGCTCAATATCAATATTACTATAAAAATATTCCAAGCCTCGTTTCCTTCTACTACTACTAGTAGGTACATGAGACACACGCTGAGTTACAACACTAATATTATTATACATTATTATATTGTATTATTATATATTATTATATTGTATTACATTATAATATTAATATCAATATTATATGTATATACAATATATTGTATTATTAGCATAGCACAGTGTTTCTCAACCTTCCTAATGCCGCGACCCCTTAATACAGTTCCTCATGTTGTGGTGACCCCCAACCATAACATTCTTTTGCTACTTCATAACTGTAATTTTGCTCCTGTTATGAAACATAATTTGGGAGTTGTCGTTGTTGGGATTTATGGTTCACCTACAATCAAAGAGTATTCTGAACTCCACCAATGATGGAATTGAACCAGACTTGGCACACAGGATGCCCACGACCAACAGAAAACACTGGAAGGGTTTGGTGGGCATTGACCTTGAGTTTGGGAGTTGTAGTTCACCTACAGAGATCACTATGGACTCAAACAATGATGGATCTGGACCAAACTTGGCACGAATACTCGGTATGCTAAATGTGAACACTGGTGGAGTGTGGGGAAAATAGGCCTTGAGATTTGGGAGTTGTAGTTGCTGGGATTTATAGTTCACCTACAATCAAAAAGCATTCTGAACCCCACCAATGATAGAATTGGGCTAAACCTCCCACACAGAACAACAGAAAACGCTGTGTTTTCTGATGGTCTTTGGTGTCCCCTCTGGCACCTCATGGCGACCCCTCCAGGGGTCCCGACCCCCAGGTTGAGAAACACTGGCATAGCACAATATTAGTATTATATATAGGAGCCCCCGGTGGCGCAGTGTGTTAAACACTTGCGCTGGCAGGACTGAAGACCGACAGGTCGGAGGCTCGAATCCAGGGAGAGTGGGTTGAGCTTCCTCTGTCAGCTCCAGCTCCCCATGCAAGGACATAAGAAAAGTCTCCCACAAGAATGGTAAAACATCAAAACATCCGGCCGTCCCCTGGGCAACATCCTTGCAGACGGCCAATTCTCTCACATGAAAAGCAACTTTCAATTTCTCAAGTTGCTCCTGACATGAAAAAAGCATAATATATTGCTATATTGTACTATACCGCTATACTGCAATATCATTAGTAATATTACATGTAATATATCATATAAAGTTATTATATATTATTATATTGTACTATATTAGTATACCACAATCTATATAATACAATAACAGTAGCATATAATATATTTCACTATACCATAAGTTGTAGTATATATAATATATAATAGACTAGCTGTCCCCTGCCACGCGTTGCTGTGGCCCAATCTGTTGATCTGGAAAATAAAGTAATGAGAAAGTGTTGGTTTCTAATATATGTAATTTCTTTCTGCTTGTGGGTAAACAGTATTTCTTGCTGTTCCTTTGTCAGTGTTGATGTGGAGAGTGTCTGGTTTGCCCACCTGGAACATGCAACATATCATTGTCCTTCTTTAAGGGTCCCTTTCAAATCTATGATACTATATCTCTCTGTGTGCGAATCATATCTATCTATCTATCTATCTATCTATCTATATCTATCTATGGCTGGGTGGTTCTTTTTCAGGAGGGCCTTGATTACGTTTTCTTGCCCTGATGAAGGGAGTTGGATTGGATGGCCTTAAGTATTTTCTGTTGGTCATGGGGGTTCTGTGTGGGAAATTTGCCCCAATTCTGTCGTTCGTGGGGTTCAGAATGCTCTTTGATTGTAGGTGAACTGTGAATCCCAGTGACTACAACTCCCAAATGTCAAGGTCTATTTTCCCCAAACTCCACCTGTGTTCATATTTGGGCATATTGAGATTTGTGCCAAGTTTGGTCCAGATCCATCATTGTTTGAGTCCACAGTGATCTCTGGATGTAGATGAACTACAACTCCAAAACCAAAGGATGCTGCCCACCAAACCCTTCCAGTTTTTTCTGTTGGTCATGGGAGAACTGTGTGCCAAGTTTGGTTCAATTCCATCGTTGATGGAGTTCAGAATGCTCTTTGATTGTAGCTGAACTATAAATCCCAGCAACTACAACTCCCAAATGACAAAATCAATTTCTCCAACCCCACCTGTATTCAAATGTATGCATATGGGATATTTGTGTCAAGTTTGGTCCAGATCCATCATTGTTTGAGTACACAGTGCTTTTTGGATGTAGGTGAACTATAACTCCAAAACCCAAGGTCAATGCTCACCAAACCCTTCCAGTCTTTTCTGTTGGTAATGGGAGAACTGTGTGCCAAGTTTGGTCAATTCCATCGTTGATGGAGTTCAGAATGCTCTTTGATTGTAGGTGAACTCTAAATCCCAGCAACTACAACTCCCAAATGACAAAATCATAATTTTTGAGTGATGGTCACTCCTTGTGTTGTGAGATGTTTTGTTGCCAAATTTGGTGTGATTTCATTCATTGGTTCTTTTGTTTTTAAGGTACTCATTATGACCAGAGCATTTTTATATAGATAGATTATTATATATATTACAGCATTATTACAATTTTATCTCTCTGTCTTCTTCCCAGTCTAGTCAATAGGGCACCTGCAGTCGTTGGAGAAACTGAAGTATGCAATTGAAGCAAGTGGGCTGCATCTGAGGTACCACGGAAACCATCTCGCTATATCAGCGCTCCTATTGGGCGAAGAGGGAGATTTGGAGGCTTGGGATTGGTTGCTTCCTCTCTTTTGAGCTCTACCCATTTTTCAGAGCAGCCATCCATCACGAATTGACGCAGGGTTGCTAAGCAACGGGGCTTGTTTTGAAGGTAAAAAAGGTGACGACGACGATGAATCGGCGCTTTTGGTCTTTATCGAGGGAAGAGAAGGCAGAGCCCTTCCAGACAGGCCCTACACCCCAGGATCTGGTCCCAGGTTTTCTGTTTATTTGAGATTATATTGCAGTGCAAACTCATATAATCCAGTTTAAAGCAGAAAACCTGGGATCAGATCCTGGGATCTAGGGCCTGTCTGGAAGGGCCCCCAGGTGAGATTGGACTGCAGCAGCCATCAGCTCGAGATCCAATGAGGTCCAGGGTTTGGACTACATCCCCCAAAATCCCCATTCTGGTAGGTTTATAGGGGTTTCTGATGAGGGTTGATGGGAGTTGTCCAGCCGCAGTCCCCCACCCCCACCCCCCAGGTGAACATTTGAAGGCAAATCAACCAACATTTGTCTCTATGTTTCAACAGTGATAAGGAAGAAATGGAGAATGCCCCTTCCTGTGGGACAAGTGAATGCGTTCAAGGACCACCTAGTTCTTTGACGAAGGAAGTCAAGAAGACACGATTCCCGGTAAGTATGACTTATTTTGCATTGTTCCTTCTAGATTTCAGATTTGGCCAGAAACAGGAGAGAAGGCTCTCTGTCACTGCATATTTCCAAATTAGCAATCTGAATGGCCATCTGTCAGGAAGGCTTTGATAATGCCTTCCTGCCTGGCAGAAGGGGGTTGGATTAGATGGCTTTCGGATTCCCTTCCAAATCGAGCATCCTATAATTCTATGCACCGGTAAAGATGTTTCAATTGGAAGAATGTTTGGTATCTATAGCTGAGGAATATGTGCTTATTAGTGTATGCCTTTTCTTGTGATTCTTTCTTTCCTCTGTTTCTCTCATACACTTTCTCCTTCTCTCTTTTCTTTCTTTCTTTCTTTGTCCTCTTGCTTTCCCTCATGTGTTTTCCCCACTCTTCTGTCTTTCTTTGTCTTTCCTTTCTCTTCCCTTTTTCTTCCTTCTTTCCTCCCTTCCTTCCTTCTTTCCTTTCATTTCTTTCTCATTCATTCTACCCCTCTCCTTCTACCTTTCCCCCCTTCCTTTTTCTTCTTTAATTTCCTACTTTTTCTTTCTCCCCTTGGTCCTTTCCTTCTTTCTTCTTCTCCTTCCTTCTCTTCTCTCCTTCCTTCTCTCCTTTTTCTTTTCCCTTATGTTCTCCCTCTTTTCTTCCTTCTTCCTTCTCTCCTTCTTTCTCTTCTTTCCCTCCTTTTTCTTCCCCTCCCCTTTCTCCCCTTTTTCTCTCTTTCTTTTTCCTTCCCATCTTCTCTTCCCTTCTTTCTCTTCCTTCCCTCCTTTTTCTGTCATCCCGTCCACCTTTCCTCCTATTTTTCTTTTTCTTTCGTCCTTCCCATCCGTTCTTTTCCCTTCTTTCTCTTTCTTCCCTCCTTTTTCTTTCACCCCGTCCACCTTTCCCCCTCTTTTTCTCTTTCTTCTTTCCCATCCTTTCTCTTCCCTTCTTTCTCTTCCTTCCCTCCTTTTTCTTTCACCCCGTCCACCTTTCCCCCTATTTTTCTCTTCCTTCCTTCCTTCCCATCCGTTCTCTTCCCTTCTTTCTCTTCCTTCCCTCCTTTTTTCATTCACCCTGTCCACCCTTCCCCCTCTTTTTCTCTTTCTTTCTTTCTTTCTTTCTTTCTTTCTTTCTTTCTTCCTTTCTTCCTTCCTTCCTTCCTTCCTTCCTTCCTTCCTTCCCATTCTTTCTCTTCCCTTCTTTCTCTTTCTTCCCTCTTTTTTCTTTCACCTCGTCCACCTTTCTCCCTCTTTTTCTCTTTCTTCCTTTCCAGCCTTTCTCTTCCCTTTATCTCTTCCTTCTTTCCTTTTGTTCACCCCGTCCACCTTTCCCCCTCTTTATCTCTTTCTTTCTTCCTTCCCATCCTTTCTCTTCCCTTCTTTCTCTTTCTTCCCTCTTTCTTCTTTCACCTCGTCCACCTTTCTCCCTCTTTTTCTCTTTCTTCCTTTCCAGCCTTTCTCTTCCCTTTATCTCTTCCTTCTTTCCTTTTTCGTTCACCCCATCCCCTTTCCCCTCTTTCCTTTTTCTTTCCTTCTTCCCTCCTTCCTTCTTTCTCTTTCTTCCCTCTTTTTTTCTTTCACTCCATCTACCTTTCTCCCTCTTTTTCTCTTTCTTTCTTCCTTCCCATCCTTTCTCTTCCCTTCTTTCTCTTCCTTTCATTCCCTGCCTCATGTTTCCCACCCCCTTTCCTTTTCTCTTCCTTCCCTCCTTTTTTTCTTCCTCCCACCCTCGCTTCTTCCTTCCTTTCTTTATCTGCCTTCTTTTTAATCCAGGTGGTGGATTAGATAGGAAAAAAAACAGCTAGAATCTAGGCATGTTTTAATATATTTGTAGCTCTCTGGTGATTGCCGACGTGGCATTGTATAGTGGTTTGAGTTTGGACAATGATTCTGGTGACGAAGGTTCAATTTCCCTATCAGCCATGGAGCTGGCTGAATGCGGGCAGGTTACATCATCCTCAAAGGAAGGCAATGCTCAATCCCCTTCTAAACCAATCTTGCCTGGAAAACACCATGGAAGAGTCAACCTGAAGGCAATAACAACAGCTTGATTTCCTCTTCTCTGAAAAAAAGAAGAAATCACTGTCAACACAATCTGGATGTGCTGTATTTCCCAGAAAATACGAATGTTTCCTATAAAAGATGGAACAGGGCTAACCTGTATTTTTAGGGCGTGTCTTTATTTTTTTTTCATGTCCAACAATCTACATTTGTTCATTTATTCATGTACAAAAATCTCTCAACCAAAGGCTCAGGTAGTTGCCAAAAACGTAATAATAAGGTATATTCGCATTTGATTTAAGTACTGATGTTAAAAACATTATTTATATTTAACTAGCTGTACCCACCACGCTTTGCTGTGGCCAATCTTCCCTCCCTCTTTCTCTCCTCCTTCCTTCCTTCTCATCCCTTCCTCCCCCTGCCTTTTCTTTTCCTTGCTCTTTCTCCCCGTTCTTTCTTCTCTACCTATTCTTGGACTGTAACTCCCATCAGTCCTCCTGATCTATCTATCTACCTACCTGTCTATCTAATATGTATCTGGAGGATTGCTGGGAGTTGCAATCCAGGAATAGGAAATTGGAAATATGCAGGGATTGGGTTGCTCTCAAATAAATCCAAGGAGAAGAAAGCCTGCATCTTGGAAGCAGTGCATTTGGGTCATCCTCCTCTCCTAAACGGCATGGTCTAGGGGGTGCTGGGAGCTGTAGTCCGGAAAAGAGTGTGGATATGCTATTGTGTGTGTGTGTGTTTTTTGTTTTGTTTTTTTGCTGGGGGAGTTGTTTTTGTGCATGTGCTGTACCACCTTTTTTGGCTTTTTAAGTCCCTTCTGCTGTGTTTTTCAGTGTTTTTATGAGTGATCGTCATTCATTGGCCTGATAGCTGCATTGTGTCCAAAATTGGTATCAATTTGTCCAGTGGTTTTTGAGTTATGTTAATCCCACAAACTAACACTACATTTTTATTTATATAGATCAATTATATACTCAAATTATGATTTTATAATTCAAGACTTTGTTTACTGTTGTTTTGTACTGTATTTAATATGTTGGAAGCCGCTTTGGGTCCCTTCATGAGAGAAAACTGGAATATAAATAAAATTTATTATATTATTACGTCTGTCGTGTTTTGCAACGGATGTACAAGCTGACGTCCCTCGATGGACTGTCACCTTGTCGTGGTGAGGGGGCTTACGTATTCCAGTAAACCTGCATGCGCAACAGCTGGGGTCATGCAATCCCAGGAGTGGCCGCAGGGGAGGTTCCAGACCAAGCACAGTCCAAAGACCTCAACAGCAGAGCAGGCGGAGGATAACAAGGTACATGTTACGATGGCTATGAAGGCAGAAGAAGGCTGCAACAAACTGAGAAGCCACAGTCACCGTGTTAACCATGCCACTATGGTACCTCACTCTGTGAAGTCTGTGTGTTGATCAGATGTGCACTGACCTCCACATATTAAAAAAACTCATGCACATATGTCTTCCGAGAAACATAAAAACAAACCAACAAAAGTCCCGTGGCGATCAACGAATGGTGACGGGGGCAAGACTGTGAAAACTGGAAGCCCCTAGTCACAGACTGGCACATGGGTGGTGGATACGGACTCAGTTGTTCTACCTCAAGGCCCGAGGCAGTTGAGTAGTTCGACAGCTGTATCCATGACTAAGCAGCCCTTTTTAGGATCCACTCTGCTCCCCCCACATGGAGAGGGGGCTAGAAAAGGTGCCCTAAACAATAATACCCTGACTGGACTGTCTCGTCCAGGGGGGTCCCCACCTTGCGGTCAAAAAAGAAAAATGAACTTTGGAACATGGAACGTATTGACACTGACAGTGAATGCCCCAAACACAGACTGCTATCATTGCAAGGGAACTGGGATGCTTTAACATCGACATAGCAGCCCTTTAGGAGACCCGGAGAGCAGGAGAGGGACAGCTGAAGGAAGAAAAAGGAGGCTACACCTTCTTCTGGAAGGGACTGCCTGAAGAAGAACAAAGAATACAAAGAGTTGGCTTTGCTATCAGAAATGATCTGGTAACACATCTGACCAAAGCATCCACTGGCATCAACGAATGACTCAACCCCCCGAATTAACCTTGCAAAAAACAGGCAACCATCATAAGTGCCTATGCACCAACACTAGATGCTGATGAAGACAGGTGGACACTGTGCCTATCGGAGATATCTCAGGAGGACAAAATCATCCTCCTGGGGGACTTTAATGCAAGAATTGGACAAGACTTCAACATGTGGCCAGGGATCATAGGAAAAGACGGGGTTGGAAACAGCAACTCAAATGGCATCCTACTTCTCACGAAATGTGCAGAACACAACCTTGTCATCACCAACACACTCTTCCATCAGAAAAACAAGCTCAAGACATCATGGAAGCACCCCTGGTCAAAGCATTGGCACCTCTTAGACTGTGTAATTATAGGTGCCAGAGACCGCCATCACATGCTTCTCACAAGAGCCATGACAGGGGCTAATGACTGCTGGACAGACCACAGGCTAATCCGATCAGTGATGGCTATCAAGATCATCCCCAAAGTAGACTCCAAGAAAGAAAGATAAGGTGCAAAATGAACACCCAAGCCCTTCAAGAGCCCTCCAAATGAGCCCTTCTCCAAACAGCACTCAAGGACCATCTACCCTTAGAACATCCCAAAAAAGTTGAGGAACATTGGAACAAACTGTAGACCTCCATCATCACAGCTTGCGAAGAAACTATTGGATATCAAACCAAGAAACATCAAGACTGGTTTGAAAAAAATGACGAGATCCAATAGCTAATTGACAAGAAAAGGAAAGGCTTCCAAACATGGCAGAGAGACATCAACTGTGCTGCTAAGAAAAGATCTATGACAGTGCAAAAACTGAGGTCTAAGGAAGGACAAGAGAACTCAAGAACATCTGGTGGACAAAGAAAGCTGAAGAAATCCAACACTTGGCAGATACCCATGATGCTCAGGGATTTATCAAAGCCACAAAGGTAATCTATGGACCAAAAAACCATGGCATACAGCCTCTACGCTCATCAGATGGAACCAAACTTCTGAAGGACAAAAAATCAATTGCACTATGTTGGAAAGAACACTACCAAAGCCTCCTGAATCGCAGCTCCAATGTGGCCGAAGAGGTTCTCTCACAAATCCCGCAACAACTAACCAGGGATGAGCTTGGAGCACTGCCTAGTTTGGAAGAAGTCACCAATGCCATCAGCCAACAAAAAAATAACAAAGCCAGCAGACCTGATGGGATCCCTGCTGAAATTTTTAAAGAGGGAGGACCTTAGCTGACACAACTCTACCAGTTCATAGAAAAAGTGTGGGTGACTGAGAAAATCGCAGCAGATTTCAAGGATGCCACCATCATCACCCTTTTCAGAAAAAGAGAAAGAACAGACTGTGGAAACTATCAAGGTATCTCCCTTCTAACCTCAACTGGGAAAATCCTCGCAAGAGCCCTTGCAAACCGCATTCTACCCCACTCAGAAGACACCCTTCCAGAATCCCAGAATGGCTTCTGCACCTCCAGAGGAACCGTGAACATGATCTTCACTGCACGACAGCTCCAAGAAAAATGCAGGGAACAAAATCAACCTCTGTACATGGCATTCATTGACCTTGCAGAGGCATTTGAATCGCAGTGCTCTCTTGACCATCCTCCAAAAAATCGGGTGCCCTAACAAATTTGTGAACATCCTCATGGTGGCAACAGTCTTGGACAGCAGGTGCTCCCCAAGTGACCCATTTAAGGTGGAATCAGGTGTCAAACAGGAATGCGTTATTGCCCCAACCTCATTTTCCATCTTCATCACTATGATACTTCATCTTGTTGATAGGAAGCTTCTATCGGACAGAAATCATCTATCGGACAGATGGCAAGCTATTTAACCTCAGCAGACTAAAAGCCAAAACCAAGGTTACAACAACATCTGTTATACAACTCCAGTATGCTGATGACGTCATCTGTGTACATTCAGAAGAAGACCTACAAGCCACTCTAAACACCTCCGCAGAAGCATATGAGAGGCTCAACTTGTCATTGAACATTGAGAAAACCAAAGTGCTCTTCCAGCAGTCACCAGCCAATCCCTCTCCAATGCCAGAAATACAGCTTAATGGTGTAACATTAGGAAATGTTGACCATTTCCGCTACCTTGGCAGCCACCTCTCCACAAAAGTCAACATTGACACCAAAATACAACACCGTGCAGCATTTTTCCGACTGAAGCATAGAGTGTTTGAGGATTGGGACATCCATAGGGATACCAAGATGCTTGTTTATAAAGTTATTGTCCTCCCTATCCTGCAATATGCCTGTGAAACATGGACTGTCTACAGACGTCACATGCAACTCCTGGAACGATTTCATCAGCGCTGCCTCCGGAAAATCCTGCAAATCTCTTGGGAAGACAAGCAGACAAATGTCAACGTGCTGGAAGAAGCAAAGACCACCAGCATTGAAGCGATGATCCTCTGTCATCAATTCCGTTGGACCAGTCACATTGTCCGAATGCTTGACCACTGTCTCCCAAAGCAGTTGCTCTTCTCCGAGCTCAAGAATGGAAAATGGAATGTTGGAGGACAGGAAAAGAGATTTAAAGATGGGCTCAAAGCCAACCTTAAAAACTCTGGCATAGACACAGAGAATTGGGAAGCCCTGGCCCTTGAGCGCTCTAACTTGAGGTCAGCTGTGACTCGCAGCGCTGTAGAATTTGAAGAGGCACGAATGGAGGGCAAAAGAGAGAAATGTGACAAGAGGAAGGCACATCAAGCCAACTCCAACCAGGACCGCCTTCTGTTTGGAAACCGATGCCCTCACTGTGGGAGAACATGCATGTCAAGAATAGGGATCCACAGTCACCTACGTACCCACTGCCAGTACACCGAACTTGGAAGACAATCTTACTCAGTCAATGAGGGATCGCCTAAGTAAGTAAGTAAGTACAGGCTGACAATTTTAACTGGAGCTTGTTTTGGGGGTAGGGCTTCTGTGACAAGCCTCCTGAAAAAAAAAACATGCTAGGCCTTATTTTCCAGTTTGGTCTTCTTTTTGGGGAAATAGGGTAAAAGGGGAACATTTCTGCTCCTGAAGGGACAGCTGGCAAGATTTCTTTTCAAATGCCTTTGCTTCTCCGAACACAAATGCAGGCACCTTCTTGCAGGTTGTTATGGTACTAAATGGAATCTTGGCCAAGTTGTGTTGCCAGACTGAGTCCTTATCTGTCAATTTCCCCACAGGAGCATATCTATCGGCCAAAAAGCTCTCCCTCCAAATCTGAAACCTCTTCCCCAGTAGAAGTTACGGGCGCAGAGCCAACCTCCCACTTGCCCTATGTACCTGTCATTTCATACCGCACCAAAAGGCTGAACCAGAGGCTGCCCATGAAAACCCAGGGGCCCGGTCGAACAAGACTGGTCACGATGGAGACCAAGAAGATCATGTCGGTCATAGATGAGGCCATCTTGTGGGCCGAGCTGATCAGCACCTTCCCATACCTGATGCAACACCTGGAAGCAGCGAGCACGGTGCTGGGCCCTGAACTGACGGGAGCGTTTAAGGAACACCTGAGGCTTTCTAACATCCTGATTGCCACACGCTCCAGCCTCAAAGGAACAGGCCTCGTGCACAAGAGCACATACAAAGGCAAGACCCATGGCGCCAAAGATCCGACAGGCCACCTGCCTTTGGTCATCTACGGCCTACAGGGCTCCATCCGTAATATTTTGCGCCTCTTCGATGCCAACTCTGACACCTGCCAGATCATACGAGGCTTTGCCCGCCGGAGGCGCCTGAGTGCCAATCTCTTCCTCAAGAGCTTGGTCGAGTTCCGCATGTTTTTCCTTGAGAGGCTTCTGACTACTCCGTTGGAAGACAAAGAATGGAAGGAGCTGAGGGAGGAACTCAGTGAGCAGGATAAAAAAAACAAAGAGCTGATCGCCTTGTTGCAGGAAGAAGTAACCGCTGCAATTCTGGATCAGGATGAGGAGGTACATGGAGGGTTTGTTGTTGTTTATTCGTTCAGTGGCTTTCGACTCTTCGTGACCTCATGGACTAGCCCACACCAGAGCCCCCTGTCAGCCGTCACCAACCCCAGTCCCTTCAAGGATACCATCCATCTTGCCCTTGGTCAGGCCCTCTTTCTCTTTCCTTCCCTTTTCCTGAGCATCATTGTCTTCTCTAAGCTTTCCTTTCTTCTCATTATGTGGCCTTCATCTTTGCCTCTACTATCCTTCCCTCCAATGAGCAGTTAGGCTTAATTTCCTGAAATATGGACTGGTTGGATCTTCTCGCTGTCCCAGGCACTCTCAGAATTTTCCTCCAACACCACAGTTCAAATGCATCTATCTTCATTCGCTTAGCCTCCCTTATGGTTCAGCTCTCGCATCCATAGGTTACAACAGGAATACCATTGCTTTAACTATGCGGATCTTCGTTGCCAGTGTGATGTCTCTACTTTTCACTATTTTATCAAGATTGGTCATTGCTCTCATCCTAAGAAGTAATCATCTTCTGATTTCTTGGCTGCAGTCTGCATCTGCTGTAATCTTTGCACTTAGAAATACAAAGTCTGTCACTGCCTCCAAGTTTTCTCTCTCTATTTGCCAGTTATCAATCAGTCTGGTTGCCATCATCTTGGTTTTTTGTGTTTAACTGCAACCCAGCTTTTACACTTTCTTCTTTCTCCTTGGTTAGAAGGCTCCTCAGCTCCTCCTCGCTTTCAACCATCAAAGTGGTGTCATCTGCATATCTAAGGTTGTTAATGTTTCTTCCAGCAATTGTAACTCCTGTCTTGGATTTGTCAAGCCCTGCACATCACATGATGTGTTCTGCATACATGTTGAATAGGTCAGGGGAGAGTATACAGCCCTGTCGTACTTCTTTCCCAATCTTGAACCAGTCTGTTGTTCCATGGTCTGTCCTTACTGTTGCTACTTGGTCCTTATAGAGACAAGTTGACTTGGCATGCCCATACCACCAACTTGCCACAATTTATTATGATCCACACAGTCAAAGGCTTTAGAATAGTCAATAAAACAGAAATAGATGTTTTTCTGAAACTCCCTGTCTTTCTCAATTATCCAGCAGATATTGCCAATTTGGTCTCTCATTCCTCTGCCTTTTCTAAACCCAGCTTGTACAGCGTGTACATCTCCATAACTAACTTTTTCATAAAAATCAATTTGTGCTTTATTAGGATCAATTATCCAGTGGACATTGGCAATTTGGTCTCTCGTTCCTCTGCCTTTTCTAAAGCCAGCTTGTACAATGTGTACATCTCCATAAGTAACATTTTCATAAAAGTCAATTTGTGCTTTATAAGGATCAATTATCCAGCAGATATTGGCAATTTGGTCTCTCGTTCCTCTGCCTTTTCTAAAACCAGCTTGTACAACGTGTACATCTCCATAAATAACTTTTTCATAAAAGTCAATTTGTGCTTTATAAGGATCAATTATCCAGCAGATATTGGCAATTTAGTCTCTTGTTCCTCTGCCTTTTCTAAAGCCAGCTTGTACATCTGGCAACTCTCTCTCCAAGTATTGCTGGAGTCCTTGCAGGATCTTGTGCATTACCTTACTGGCATGTGAAATAAGTGCCACTGTACGAAAGTTTGAGCATTCTTCAGTGTTTCCCTTTTTTGGTATGGGGATATAAGTTGATATTTTCCAGTCTGATGGCCATTCTTGTGTTTTCCATATTTGCTGGCATATGACATGCATCATCTTTCAAGATTTTAGTTTGAGCATTCTTCAGTGTTTCCCTTTTTTTGGTATGGAGATATAAGTTGATATTTTCCAGTCTGATGTCCATTCTTGTGTTTTCCAGTTTTGCTGGCATATGGCATGCACCATCTTTCAAGATTTTAAACAGTTCAGCTGGGATCCCATCATCTCCTGCTGCCTTGTTGTTAGCAATGCTTCTTAAGGCCCATTCAACCTCACTCCTCAGGATGTCTGGTTCTAATTCACTCACCACACTGTCAAAACTATCCTCGATATTATTATCCTTCCTATACAGATCTTCTGTATAGTCTTGCCACCTTCTTTTGATCTCTTCAGCTTCTGTTAGGTCGTTGAGGGTACATGGAGGTTATGGGACTTCAAGGCTACAAGCATAACAAAGCCTTGGCAACTCAATGATCAGTCAATCAATATTCTTATTGTCCTAGCTGAAGGCAACCCCCCTCCCCATTATTATTAGTAGCAGTAGTATAAATTACCCTCCTCTAAGGACCCTTCTACACTGCCATTTAATCCAGAATATCAAGGCAAATAATATCAATAATATCCAGAATATCAAGGCAAATAATGAGTCTACACTGCCATATAATCCAGTTCAAAGCAGATAATCTGAATTTTATACAGCTGTGTAGAAGGGGCCAAATTTATATCCAAGGCAAAATTCAGACTGGGAAAACAATACCTACTTGAGTTGGGAACTATCTTCCCGAAGGCATCTTTTGTGGCTCTTTTGGAGTGGTGTTGCCTGCCATTCTTGCTTTTACATACCTTGACCCCGATTGGCCCACTCTGTAGCTTTCCAAGAAGGATGCGATCATAAAGGAGCTCAAGAACCAGCTGCACAACCTGGCCAACTGTGCCGACAGCCAGATCCAACGCACCCAGGCCGAAGCCGAGGAGCAGCAGAAGGAGGCGCAGCAGGGGGCGCATGCCAAGTGCATCAAGTTGCAGCAGGAGCTGAACCAGCTACGGGTCCAGTTCAATGCCCTAATCTCGGAGAACCAAGATGCCGAGAAGGCAATCCGGAAGGTAAGGGAAAGGCATTCAGAAGGGGCCAAAGCAGAGGCGGTCAACAGTGGGGAGGAGTTGTAAGGCTGCATTGGCTTCCAAGAGACCTTCTGGGCTGCATGCCCTACACCCCAGCCTCATAATAATAATAATAATAATAATAATAATAATAATATTTAGGGGCAATTTCTTTTACAGGCTAGATGAGGCCAATAAACTGAAGCTAAATTGCTAAATCCTTTGCTGGTCCAAAGCATGGACAACATGTTTCCCAGGAAAATAAACAAGTGGAATGACATCTGTTGAAAGGGAATTCAACTGCATGCCAACCGCTGGTTCACAGACAGAAAACAGAACCCTTAAAGATGGCAGGAGGGACACTTCGGGTGCATCTATACTATGTAGAGTGAATTAGTTTGACACGACTTTTAACTGTCTTGCCTCAATGCTGTGGATCCTGGGAGTTGTAGTTTGGTGAGGCAAGGAAGGCGAAAGACCTTGTAAAACGACAACTCCCTGGATTCCATAGCAATGAACCATGGCAGTTCAAGTGGTGCCAAAGAGCATTCATTCAACAGTGTAGATGCAATAATATCCTGGATTAGGTGAGGATTACTAGTCAGAACAACAAGATGCCTAGGCCTTACCCAGAAACGACAGCTGCTAACACTTTTCTTGCCTTTATCTCCTTTAGAAGAAATTCAAAGTGGAGATGGAAATTGAGAACTGGGTCCAGAAGTATGATGTCGAGATGGTGGAAAAACAGGTATGTATGACTGTGGAGCCCCCGGTGGCACAGTGGGTTAAACCACTGAGCTGCTGAATTTGCTGACTGAAAGGTTGCCGGTTCAAATCCAGGGAGCGGGGTGAGCTCTCACTGTTAGCCCCAGCTTGTACCAACCTAGCAGTTTGAAATCATGCAATTGTGAGTAGATCAATAGGTTCCATGCAGTCATGCCAGTCACGTGACCTAGGAGGTGTCTAGCTTAGAAATGGAGATGAGCACCACCCCCCAGAGTTGAACATGACTGGACTTAATGTCAGGGGAAAACCTTTACCTTACCTATGACTCTCATCCAAAGGCATTCAGTATGAGCCTAGAAAACTCCAACTCCCAGGATCCCATAGCATTGAGCCAAGGCAGTTCAAGTAGGGTCCAACTGCATTCATTCTATAGTGCAGATTCACCCCCAGCCATCCTGGCACTTAAATAATTGTTGAAAAACATTTGGAGGGCCCCAAGTACCTCAAGGATGCTGGGCTCTTGAATGCCAATTTTTTAGACTTTTGGGGGCACTACAAATCCCATTCTCACCCCTGCCCCCCAAATAACATTTTCAACCCCCTGTTGAATGCTTTGCTCAGTCCCCTGCCCTTTGCTCCTCCCCGCAGAAAGAGATTGAAGAAATCGATGTAATCTATTCGGTGGTGAAGGAACACCTTGCCGACCTGCGGGAAAAGCTCCGCCACCTGGACCAAGAACACATCCAGATCAAGGAGGAACGGAAGATGAAGCTGGAGCAGAAGGAGAAGTCTGACCAGGAGATGGCCATTCTGGTCCGGGCCGCCACCATCATCCAGGCCTTCTGGAAGGGTTACCAGGTGAGATCGATGCTGCGCACTCGGCGGAAGAAGAAGAAGGGCAGAGGAAAGAAGGCTATCAAGAAGTAAAAAACCCCCAAAAAAACAACCCCCCCCCAAAAAAAACAAAAAAACACCAAAAAAAACCAAAAAAAACAAAAAACAAAAAAAAACCAAAACAAAAAAAAACCAAAACAAAAAAAAACAAAAAAAACCAACAAAAAAACAAAAAAAAAAGTGAACCCCGTCCCTTCCCACCTTGTGTACCCCAGATGGTTATGGATAGAAAGATTTGGTACCCCTTGTCAGTGTGTCTTCCTAAATAAAAACAAAGTCTTCCGAGAACCTTTGCCTCTTTTTTTCTCCCAGGTTTGATCATTAATCCCCTTTCTCCATCTGAGTAGGTCAAAGGCACATCTGGATCCATTAAAAAAGACCACAAAGCCTGTTCAGTCCAATTTTATTATGGCAATCTAGACACACTGGGCTCTTCTTCAGATATTTTCAATATGATCAGACTAGATTATTATTATTATTATTGTTGTTATTATTATTAGTTGTTGTACCCGCCCCGCATTGCTGTGGCCAACCTTCCCTCCCTCTTTCCTTTCTTCCTTCCCTTTTTTCTTTCCTTCTCTCCTTTCTTCATTCTCTACCTCTTTCCTTCATTCCCCTCTTTTTCTTTCTCTTCTTCCTTCTCTATCTCTTTCCTTCCTTCCTTCCTTCACTCTTTGCATCCATCCTTCCTTCTCTCTTTCCTTCTTTCTTTCCCTCCTTTTCTTTCTCTCCTTTCTTCCCTCCCTCTTTCTTTCTTTCCATTTTTTCTATTCTCCCTTTCTTTTCTACCTCTTGCCTGGGTGTCGGCGGAAAGGGAGCCTTGCAGGGAGTCATTTTCACGCATGCACTGTAATGTCTTTTTGTTTTTGTTTTTTTTAAGTCCTTTCCACTGTGTGTTTTGTTTTGTTTTTATGAGTGATGGTCGTGTATTGTGTCCAAATTTGGTATCAATTCATCCAGTGGTTTTTGAGTTATTTTATTCCCACAAATTAACATTACATTTTTATTTATATACATTTTAGTACATTTAGATTATTATTATTTCTCACCCGCTTCTTCTCAAGATAACATTGGAAAAATCCTAAAGGCATCAGATGCCATCTGATTTTGAAGCAAAGCAGGCTCAGTCATGGTTACGACTTGGTTGGGAAGCCATCAATGAATCCTAAGTGTTGTAGGCCATGCTTCACAGGAAGGAAGAGGCAAAACCACCTCTTGAGGATTCCTTGTGTAAGATTGGGTCACAATAAGTCTATAGATGAGTTGAAGGCACACATGTACATCTAATACCTCTTCTTGTGGCGGGAAGACAATTGATAATATTATTCAATGATGGAATAGGGCCAGGGTAGCTAAAATGGTATCAAACTGCTATAATTGCACAATATAAACACACCTCTATATACCCCACATCATGTGCACCAAGGAAAGAAGGCAAAATCTGCAAATGGGAACAAATGGGAATGACATCTAGCACATCTACTCCATAGAGACCCCCAGCATTGGGTGGCCATTTCACTAGCCATTTTATTTCCAAGGAGGTTTGGGTTTACAGGAGCTGGTTGACCGTGTTGCCTTGGTAGACACTGAGAATCCCTGTGAACATGGTCTTGTGAAAGACCCCACAGAGGTGACTGGAAGGGGTTGATCCTGCTGTGTACTTGTCCTTGGGTTATTCACTAGAGACGGAGCCCGATGCGAAGCACTACACAGTCGGGTAAGGGAACAAGAGCGTCTTCTCCTCAAGTCGTCCTGGTTGGTCCTGTCCGAGCTACTCTCTTGGGGTCTTCGGAAAGCATCTTCCTGTCTGCGCAGGGCTCCGGCCCCTTCTTTCCCCTTTTCCTGGTGGACAGCTCTCAGTGGTGTCTCCTTTGGGCGAGGGGAAAGGACAAGTCGGTCTCTCAAGGCGGAAGGTGGTGTCAAAAGTAATGGGCGAAGCTTGGCCACATCGCTGCCGGACATCCAAGGGGCGGCCCATTCCTGCTCCCCAGGTTTGGGCCCAAAGAGGGTCTCATCACAATAGGATGGAGTGTGACTTTTCAGCCTTTGGCAAGAAAGAAAGGGAGATGAAATGAAATCTTACCACCTGGTTCATTGTGCCAAGTACTACAAAGCTCTAAAGTTGGGACAATTCTTTAATTTAGTAGTGAAAAGTCACAATTTTGCTAGGGTTGGAAACCCATGTAGGAACCTTAGACAGAGCAGCATGGAAAGGAAAGCACTCATGAAGTTATCTGGTAATTGGAGAAAATAATTCCATTATTATTATTATTATTATTATTATTATTATTATTATTATTATTTCTTACCCACCTCTCCTTGTGGCTCGAGGTGCATTACCACATAGCTAAAAACACATTATCATCATACATATAATCAAATACATATATTACAACGTATTTCCACAAATATATAAATTAAAATATGCAGAACAAAGATATCTCCTGCGGGAGAGATGAAGTGAGGTAAGAAGAAGGAGGAGAAATAGAAGAAACAGCAGCAGCAGCCAGTAAAGGTGGTCCCAGTGGTGATCAGCACACTGGGTGCAGTGCCTAAAGATCTTGGCCTGCACTTAAACACAATTGGCACCGACAAAATTACCATCTGTCAGCTGCAAAAGGCCACCCTACTGCATGCATTATTCACCAATATTCCTAGCTAGACACTTGGGAAATGTCAGACGTGTCATCCAATACAACAGCCAGCATAGTGATCTTGCTTGCTGTGTACTAATCTTGTTGTGTTGATGATGAATAATGATGATGATGATGATATAATAATAATAATAATAATAAAGCAAACACAAGATGCGAGTTTAAAAATTCATGATTAAAACTGACTGGGGACCCATCTACGGCCCCTTCTATACTGCCATATAAAATCCAGAGTATCTGCTTTGAACTGGAATATATGGCAGTGTAGACTCATATCATCCAGATCAAAGCAGATTATGTGGATTATCTGCTTTGATAATCTAGATTATATGGCAGTGTAGAAGGGGCCTAGGAGTTGTTTGTAAGTTGTTTGTAACTTGGGGACTGCCTATAATTTATGTTCCTGGGATATGCAGGAAAGTTAATTGATCCCAGGAAGAAAAAAGAGGCAGCCTAAGCAGTCTGGAAGAGATGACTGACAAAAACAACCTTTGGGATCATTTGAGGTCACATTGGTCCCCTCCAGGAATGATGCAACCAAACCACATCCCTCTGCCACGCAATCTTGCTGTTGTCAACCAACGGATTTCTCCCCAAACTAGACCCATACCTGTATTTATTTCTCTTTCTTGGGGTACCAGCAGACGGAGGTCCCTTGGCGGGGCTGGCACCCACCTCTGGGCTCCACAGTAAGGGTCTTGGGGAAGGGGCTTTGCTCTCCGCCCAGGGAGGATCAAACTCCGCAGCTGGGACCTGCCGCCCCGCAGAGCTGCCAAAGAGGGTCTCGTCCACAAAGGAGGCTTTGGCCTTGACCCTGGGGCCTCTCGCCCGACGCTGGAACTGGAGGGCGGCGATGCCCAGCTCGGCCGAGGCCTTCATGGATGCCGGTAAGCCAAGTCCCAGCAGGAACAGCCATCCACAGTTGACCAGGGCTTCATATGCCTCTCCTGTGCAGACAAAGAAGAAAATCTCTGTGTTGTCAAAGGATTTCAAGGCCGGAATCACTGGGTTGCTGTGAGTTTTTCGGCCTGTCTGGCCATGTTCCGGCCTGTCTGGCCATGTTCCCTGATGTTTCACCCACATCTATGGCAGACATCCTCAGAGGTTGTGAGGTCTGTTGGAAACTAGGCAAGTGGGGTCTATATATCTGTGGAATAATGTCCAGGGTAGGAGAAAGAACTCTAGTCTGTTTGACAAGAGTCAAGTGTGAACATTAGCCATTGGCCAGCTTGATTAGCATTGATTTGCCTGGCTGGTTGCTGCCTGGGGGAATCCTTTGTTGGAAGGTATTAGCTGGCCGTGATTGATTCTGTCTGGATTTCCCCTGTTTTCTGAGTGTTGTTATTTATTTACTGTCCTGATTTTAGATTTTTTTTTAATACTGGTAGCCAGATTGTGTTCCTTTTCACGTGTTTCCTCCTTTCTGTTGAAATTGTCCACATGCTTGTGTATTTCAATGGCTTTTCTGTGTAGCCTGATATGGTGGTTGCTATAGTAGTCCAGCATTTCTGTGTTCTCAAATAACATTCTGTGTCTAGATTGGTTCATCAAGTGCTCTGCTATGGCTGACTTCTCTGGTTGGATTAATCTGCAGTGCCTTTCATGTTCCTTGATTCATGTTTGGGCGCTGCATTTGAAGCTGCAAGGCCATTTAGTGCTAATTAAGGAATACAATTGCAACATTCACACCTGCCTCAAACAGACAAGAGTTCTTTTTCCCACCCTGGACATTGTTCCACAGGTGTATATATAAACCTCACTTGCCTAGTTTCCAACAAACCTCACAACCTCTGAGGATGCCTGCTATAGCTGTGGGCAAAACGTCAGGAGAGAATGCTTCTGGAACATGGCCAGACAGCCCGGAAAACTCACAGCAACCCAAGATGTGATATTTGCGGTGACACAAGATAACAGTCTTTGGAAGACAGTAATCTCTATACCGAACTACCATGGCCCAATGCTATGGAAGCATAGGAGTTGTAGTGTAGTCAGGTCCCAGGACTCTTTGGTTGAGTTTGGTTGAGTAGGCAAAAGTCCTTTTAAATAGGGTTTAATCTCTTGTCTGGACTTCTAGGTGTTTTGAACTTCAGCTCCCAGAATCCCTCGCTATTGGCCAAAGTAGGTTTTTGGGAGCAAGACTCCAAAACACCAGGAAGACCAGAGTTTAGGGGATACTACTTTATTATTTACTAGCCGTCCCCTGCCACGCGTTGCTGTGGCCCACATGGTGGGGTTCAGAATGCTCTGTGATTATAGGTGAACTATAAATCCCAGCAACTACAACTCCCAAATGCATATTGGGCATATTGAGCATATTGTTCAAGTAGAGTTTGGTCCAGATCCATCATTGTTTGAGTCCACAGTGATCTCTGGATGTAGGTGAACTACAACTCCAAAACCAAAGGACACTGCCCACCAAACCCTTCCAGTATTTTCTGTTGGTCATGGGAGAACTGTGTGCCGAGTTTGGTTCAATTCCATCGTTGGTGGGGTTCAGAATGCTCTTTGATTGTAGGTGAACTATAAATCCCAGCAACTACAACTCCCAAATGACAAAATCAATTTTTTTGAGTGGGTTGTTAGGTGTCTTGTGTCCAAATTTGGTGTCAATTCCCCCAGTGGATTTTGAGTTCTGTTAATCCTACAAACGAACATTACATTTTTATTTATATAGATTTATTTATTTATTTATTTATATCCCACTTTCTCTCTCCATACGGACATTCAAAGCAGCTCACAATCAAAAACATTACAGCTTAAAATATACAAATGTACAACAATAAAACAATATATCCTTATATATCATTATATATTAACAGTAGTAATTATGTTTAATATATTAGTATAATTACTTCATAATATTATTATTATATATTATTATATTGTATTATTATTAGTATTATATTGTATTACATTATAATATTATTACACTTTAGGCCGGATCTACACTGCCCTATATCCCAGGATCTGATCCCAGATTATCTGGCAGTGTAGATTTATATAAACCAGTTCAAATAAGATAATCTGGGATCAGATCTTGGGATATAGGGCAGTGCAAATCCAGCCTTAGAAGGCCTTTCACCTTCTCAACCAGAGTCCTGGTGCCCTGTCAAACTACAACTCCTTATGATTCCGTAAAATTGAGCTATGAAGTTCACAGTCATGCCAAACTGCATTGATGAGTTTTCCCCAAAAACAGGTACATTGTACTGGAGTTCCCATCATACCCCCATTGACCAAGGCAGTGGAGGCTTCTGGGAGTTGGAGTCCAAAATAGTTTGGCAATCGCTAGGTCAGCGTTTCTCAACCTGGGGGTTGGGACCCCTGAGAGGGTCTCGAGGAAGGTGTCAGCGGGGTCGCCAAAGACCATCAGAAAACACAGTATTTTCTGTTGATCATGGGGGTTCTGTGTGGGAAGCTTGGCCCAATTCTATCATTGGTGGGGTTCAGAATGTGCTCTGATTGTAGGTGAACTATAAATCCCAGCAATTACAATACCATGGCAAGGTCTATTTCCCCCAAACTCTTACCAGTGTTCACATTTGGGCATATTGAGGATTTGTGCCAAGTTTGGTCCAGATCCATCATTGTTTGTTTGAGTCCACAGTACTCTGTGAACTACAACTCCAAAACTCAAGGTCAATCCTCACCAATCCCTTCTGGTATTTTCCGTTAGTTGTGGGAGTTCTGTGTGCCAAGTTGGGTTCAATTCCATCATTGGTGGGTTCTTTGATTGTAGGTGGACAATAACGCCCAGCAACTACAACTCCCAAATGACACCCCCCGTCCCAAAAAAAAAAACAAAAAACACCTCCACCAGTATTCAAATTTGGGTGTATCGGGTATTTGTGCCAAATTTGGTCCAGTGAATGAAAATACATCCTGGACATCAGATGACAGTTATGAAGTAGCAACAAAAATAATTTTATGGTTGGGGTTCAGCACAACATGAGGAACTGTATTAAGGGGTCGTGGTTTTCGGAAGGTTGAGAAACACTGCTCTCGGTGGTTGCATCCCATGACTCAGAAGAAGATATTGTATTTGTTCCCTGCCTCTCCGCAATGGCAAACCCTCTCCGAGCCAATGTTGCCAAGGAAACTCCGTGCTAGCCTTTGACAATACAAAATCCATGAGACATCAGAGAGGGCTTGAAGGCACTCAATAAGAACCAAGAGAACTGGTCCTGACTTGTACAGGGTCATTCAGTGGGTTTCCATGGCCAGGTGGGGATTCAAACTTGGTTCTCCAGGTCCCCATATTAAACATACATCACAATAAAAATACAATACATATTTACTAATCTATTAACATGCATAAGATCCGGCTTCAAGGGCAGGTTGCCAAAGAAAGTAGACCAGAGCCAAGTAGGTTAATTAGACAGATGGGGATCAGGCCATGCAAGGATTCCTCTCTCTCTCTCTCTCTCTCTCTCACTCTCTCTAGGTGCATCTACACTATGCAGCTTGACCCCACTTCAACTGCCCTGGTTCAGTGCTATGAGATCCTGGGAGTTCTAGTTTCCCAGGGTCTTGAGCCTCCTCTGGGTGCATCTACGCTGCTGAATGAATGCAGCTTGATGTCCCTTGAACTGCCAGGTCTCCAGCCTATGGGATCCTGCGAGTTATAGTTGGCAGGCCTTGGAGAACTACAACTCCCAGGACGCCATAGGATGGGTCTACATTGTGGAATGGATGCAGGTTGACCCCATTTAAACTGCCCTGGCTCAGGGTAATAATAATAATAATACTTTATTTATACCCCGCTACCATCTCCCCAGGGAGCCCCCAGTGGCGCAGTGGGTTAAAGCACTGAGCTGCTGAGCTTGTTGATCGAAAGTTCGCAAGTTCAATTCCAGGGAGCGGCGTGAGCTTCCACTGTCAGCCCTAGCTTCTGCCAACCTAGCAGTTCGAAAACATGCAAATGTGAGTAGATCAATAGGTACCGCTCCGGCGGGAAGGTAACGGTGCTCCATGCAGTCATGCCAGCCACATGACCTTGGAGGTGTCTACGGACAACGCTGGCTCTTTGGCTTAGAAATGGAGATGAGCACCACACCACAGAGTCAGACATGACTGGACTTAATGTCAGGGGACTACCTTTACCTTTACCTTACCATCTCCCCAAGGGACTCGGTGCAGCTTACATGAGGCCGAGCCCTCAGTACATCAGCAAAAAACAACAGCAGTAATACAAAACCATAAAATAAAGCTCATAAACAAAAAATAGGCAGTAAACATCGACAATAACACAATAGCATTTAAAAACCAATGGCTGGGCCAAATGTAATAGTTAAAATTTAAAAATAATGCTGGACAAGACCAGGTGAAATATAACTAGGATAGAATTTCGGAAAAAGAATAGGGCGTACAGACAGTTCTAGATCACTAATAAGGTACAATTAGGGACATATTTCTGAGAGTAATAAGCCCTCCTGGAAGTTCTAGTTTCCCAAGGTCTTGAGCCTCCTCTGGGTGCATCTACGCTGCTGAATGAATGCTGCCTGATCTCCCTTGAACTGCTAGGCCTCCAGCCTATGGTATCTTGCAAGTTATAGTATGGCAGGCCTTGGAGAACTACAACTCCCAGGATGCCATCGCACTGAGTTCACCATAGGGTGCATCTACATTGTGGAATGGATGCAGGTTGACCCAATTTAAACTGCCCGGGCTCAGGGTAATAGGCCCTCCTGGAAGTTCTAGTTTCCCAAGGTTTTGAGCCCCCTCTGGGGGCACCTATGCTGCTGAATGAATGCAGCTTGATCTCCCTTGAACTGCCAGGCCTCCAGCCTATGGGATCCTGCAAGTTATAGTATGGTAGGCCTTGGAGAACTACAACTCCCAGGATGCCATTGCACTGAGTTCACCATAGGGCGCGTCTACATTATGGAATGATGCAGGTTGACTCAATTTAAACTGCCCGGGCTCAGGGTAATAGGTCCTCCTGGAAGTTCGTGTTTCCCAAGGTCTTGAGTCCCAAGGTCTTCAGCACCATAGAAGCTCCCAGAGGGGGCTCAAGACCTTGGGAAACTAGAACTTCCAGGAGGGCCTATTATCCTGGAGCAGAAGCATCTATGCTGCTGAATGAATGCAGCTTGATGTCCCTTGAACTGCCAGGCCTCCAGGGTATGGAATCCTGCGAGTTATAGTTTGGCAGGCCTTGGAGAACTACAATTCCCAGGACACCATTGCACTGAGTTCACCATAGGGCGCGTCTACATTGTGGAATGGATGTAGGTTGACCCAATTTAAACTGTCCGGGCTCAGGGTAATAGGTCTTCCTGGAAGTTCTAGTTTCCCAAGGTCTTGAGTCCCAAGGTCTTCAGCAGCATAGAAGCTCCCAGAGGGGACTCAAGACCTTGGGAAACTAGAACTTCCAGGAAGACCTATTACCCTGAACCCAGGCAGTTTAAATGGGGTCAACCTGCACCCATTCCACAATGTAGACGCGCCATTTAAACTGCCCGGGCTCAGGGTAATAGGTCTTCCTGTAAGTTCTAGTTTCCCAAGGTCTTGAGTCTTCCCCGCCGAACCACAACTCGCAGGATCCCCTATCTGGAGCCAAAGCAGTTCAGGGGAGGTCAAGCTGTCCTCATTCGACCGTGCAGCATATGCACCCTTTTCATTGTTTGCATCTCGTTTCCCTGGGAAACGACTGCAAAGCAGCAGAAAACCAGCCAATCCAAGCCATCTCTGGCTTTTGCACACGGCCTGAGGCATTCTCTTCCCTTTCTTTTTGCAGTCCTACCTTTTCAGCCCGGCGCCCCCCCCCCCCCCACTCGCCCCCGATCTTACGGTTTGCTCGCCTCCTTAGCCCCTCTTTCGGCCACCGATCAGCTCCTCATCAAAGAAGACGAGGAACAACTCTTCACTTCCGGTTCCCATTCGCGGCTCTTGATTAGAGCAAGACAGGAACTTGCTGGCTTCTATGCTTTCCTTTCTGATGGCTTGGTTTCATGCACACACAAAATATTATATTTCAGGCTGTGCGTCTATGCAACATAAATGACTGTCTTTTTTAGGCTTGGGTGTCATACACCAGATCTCTCATGAAAATATCTCAGGGTACATTTAAACTCTAGAAATAATATAATATAATATAGCATAACATAATTAATATAATACTTTCTTATATTATATTATGATATAATACAATATAATATTATTATATAATAATATATAATAAGGATCCAATGCTATGGGATCGAATAATACAATACAATACAATATAACAATATATTATTATATGACTATCTATCTTCTATATATATAAAAATGCTCTGTTCATAATGAGTACCTTAAAAACAAAAGAACCAGTGAACGAAATCGCACCAAATTTGGCAACAAAACATCTCACCACACAAGGAGTGACCATCACTCAAAAAAATTATGATTTTGTCATTTGGGAGTTGTAGTTGCTGGGATTTATAGTTCACCTACACTCAAAGAGCATTCTGAACTCCATCAATGATGGAATTGAACCAAACTTGGCACACAGAACTCCCATGACCAACAGAAAATGCTGGAAGGGTTTGGTGGGCATTGACCTTGAGTTTGGGAGTTGTACTTCACCTACATCCAGAGAGCACTGTGGACTCAAACAATGATGGATCGGGACCAAACTGGGCACAAACACTCGATACACCCAAATATGAACACAGATGGAGTTTGGGGGAAATAGATCTTGACATTTGAGAGTTGTAATCACTGGGATTCACAGTTCACTTACAATCAAAGAGCATGATGAACCCCACAAGCGATAGAATTGGGGCAAACTTCCCACACAGAACCCCCATGACCAACAGAAAATACTTAAGGCCATCCAATCTAACTCCCTTCATCAGGGCAAGAAAGCGTTATCAAAACCCTCCTGACAAAGAACCATCCAGCCATAGATATAGATAGATAGACAGACAGACAGATACATATGATTCACACACACACAGATATAGTATCATAGATTTGAAAGGGACCCTTAAAGAAGGACAATGATATGTTGCATGTTCCAGGGTGGGCAAACTAGACACTCTCCACATCAACAGTGACAAAGAAACAAGAAGTACGGTTTACCTGCAAGCATAAAGAAATTACGTATATTAGAAACCAACACTTTCTCATTACTTTATTTTCCAGATCAACAGACTGGGCCACAGCAACGCGTGGCAGGGTACAGCTAGTATCATATAATGTAATAAAATAATAATGTATTATATAATAAATAAAATATCAGTGTCTGATACAGAACATGGCCATATAGCCCGGAAAAACCTACAACAACCCAGTGATTCCGGCCATGAAAGCCTTCGACAATACAATAAAATATTATATTATTATATGATACAATAGGGAGACCCTGGTGGCGCAGTGGGTTAAACTGCTGGGCTGCTGACCTTGCTGACCGAAAGGTTGCAGGTTCAAATCTGGGAAGCGGCATGAGCTTCCGCTGTCAGCCCCAGCTTCTGCCAGCCTAATGATATTGAGCTAGAATTTGGAGACTCCCACCCTGGAGAACGGAGCCCTAAGACCCACCAAAGTGCTGGTGTTGACCTATAAATCCCTAAACGACTCCGGCCCAGTTTACCTGTCCAAACGGATTCTCCCCTATGAACCATCAAGGTTGTTAAGATCTTCTGGAGGGGCCCTGCTCTCGGTCCCACCACCTTCACAATTGTGTCTGGTGGGGACGAGGGACAGCGCCTTCTCGGTGGTGGCCCCTCGGCTCTGGAACTCTCTCCCGTTGGAGATTAGATCCGCCTCTTCCCTCCTGACTTTCAGAAAGCTGGTAAAAACCTGGCTTTGGAATATAGCATTTGCAGAATGATGATCGAGTCAATAACGGCTGACCACACCGACGGATGGTGATGAATTTGTGATTTTATTTTGACGACATGGCTTTTGTAATTGTGTGATATTGTATGATCTGTATTTTAATGTATTTTGTATTAATGTATTATGATGCTATTATGTTTACTATATTTGTGTTGAATTTTCTGCTGTTAGCCGGCCTGAGTCCCTCTTCGGAGGTCGAGAAGACCGGGTTATAAAAGCTCTAAATAAAAAAATTAAAAAATGAGGATCCGGAACTCTGGCGAGCAAAGGAAAAGCCAATAGAATTTTCCTTGATTTTTCCCAATAAATCTCACCAAAATTGAAGAAAAGCCACCGAGTTGTATTTATTTCATCCAGCTGGTACGGATGTCAAACCACGATAGTTCGTCAGGAGAGACATACATTCAATACATTGCAGTACATTTTTATAGAGAAACAGAGCTGTCAAAGTTCAAATTTCCCACCCCTCAGCCAGCCTTCTCCTGATTGGTTGTTGTCATCAGCTGGAGAGGAGGCGCAGCCAGCTTGACTGCACCTCAGTCAATCAGAAAGCCAGTGCCGCTTCGAGCTTTCGACCAATAGGAGCGGAGGAGGCGGTCCTTGGGAAGAACAATGAAAGGAATGTCCAGATGATTGAATTAGAATGGCTCAATGTGTCCAAATGGCTGGCGATTCATCAAAAGAAAAGATTCCTCAAGCTGGCTGGGTATTCTTGAAAGGTTGCGATATGCAGATATGGCGGGCACGATTGCCAAGCCCTGGTATTTCCTTGTCTTAGATATTGGATCACTTTGTAATTTGGTAGATTTTCTTGGTCCAAGGGGAAATGACAAAAGGGAGGAAGGCTGGGACATCCTGGCCTCCCTTGGAGGCAGGATGTTTCTTTGTTGATAGATGACTAGTTTACCAGGGGCCCTTTTCCAAGTGGTCCTGCTCCGAAACTGAGGGAGAGCCTGGTTATTATCATGTAAATAGTCTTTGTTGAAAACCTAGAATCAATGGAGATTTGCCCTAGGAAATGAACTTCCCAAGGCTGGTGTTTCACTGGGGTCACGAAAAGGGTGGCTTCCCATATTTCATATACAGACACATACATAAGGTTCAAGGGAGACACATAAGGGACAATGAAGCATAAAGGGATTTCATAATACACTCATCCCACCCACTAGAGTCCAAAGGAATAAGTTCATAAGCATGAAATCATATCATCCCTATTCATGCAAGGGAGTCCACCAAGTTTTTAAAAGTTCTTGAAAGTTTGGGAAAGTTGATCAAAGTTGTGAAATCCAGAAAAGGCAAGTGGGAAAAGGTGTCCCAGTGTCCACAGAGTCCTTATGAGCCGACTGCCAACGTTGAAGATTGAGAACCGTGGAGAGAACTACAGATCCCTCCATACCAAGGACTCAGGCAGCCTGCTGACATCTTGGGGTTCCTCTGGGTTGACTGCGACAGTTGCCCAAGATCAGCATGCTCCCTGGACATCCACAAAATGGTGGCAACGAGGCAATCTCCTTGGAAAAACAGCTGGGCTCCAGGCTGAAGTTTTAGAGACAAAAAAGGTTATTCCTGGGGCGGAGAGGACAGCGGAGCGAAACCGAGATAGCCATTGGAATTCTCCCAGAAGAATGACACCATTTTCGAAGCGATCTGTTGACTCGCTGATACGGGGGCCCAAGGGGGTTTCCATATCCGCGGTTTAAGGGAACGCAGTTTCTGCCTCCCCGGGACGCAAAAATCGCATCCCAGGAGGGCTGGCAGTCATCTGCAGCCCGGGAGAGGAAAGTTTTATGAAAAGAGAAATTTGAGGCAATAAAGAGACACCAAGTAACACCATGAAGAGGAAAAAGGTTACAATTAATTGATACTTTTTATTGGGGGGATTAGTTACAACGTTAGGAAGGGGAAAAGGCAAAGAAATGAGATGGCTTCTGAGTTGCAGCTGCTGCTGTGGCCACATTCATGAGGTTGGCCCAAGCGGGGCAATGGAGAACTGAGGAACGCCCTGCTGCAGGTCAGATCAGCTTGAGGGCAGGGAATTCCGTGTTCGACCTGCAACTCACATGCAAATGTGAGTAGATCAATAGGAACTGCTCCGGTGGGAAGGTAACAATGCTCCGTGCAGTCATGCTGGCTCTTCAGCTTAGAAATGGAGATGAGCACCACACCCCAGAGTCGGACACGACTAGACTTAATGTTAAGGGAAAATCTTTATCTTTACTATGAGACAATAATATAACATACTACATTAATGACCCAATGCTAAGGGATCAAATAATATAATACAATATAACAAATTATTATTATATTACTATATAAAATAATATTATATTGTATTATATACTATTATTATATAATAATATAGTATAATATAATGAGGGCCCAATGCTATGGGATCGAATAATATAATGTAATACAATATAACAATATATTATTATATTATATGACTATATAATATAATAATAATGTATTATATAATAAATAAAATATTATATTATTGTATAATATAATATAATTTTGGGGGTCCTTAGGTAGGATCCCAAAATTTGACTATGCACTTTACTACTATTTTATCTATAAAATAGTAGTAAATATTTTATCTCTATCCTTAACACAGCTACATGCCCTATGCACTTTATTCATTTCCCTATCCTCGGATCTGTTGGACATCTGGCCACCACCCATGTCGAGACTGGATCATGTTATTGCTGTTGGTTTTGACGCCTGTTTTATAATTGGTTTAATGTTGTTTATGTTGTTTTAAATTGCTGTTGATGCACTTTGATGTACTATGTTTTAACTTTGCTATTTCAGCTTGGCCCCATGTAAGCTGCCCCGAGTCCCTTCGGGGAAATGGAGGCGGGATATAAAAATAAAGTTATTATTATTATTATTATTATTATTATACAATAATAATAACATACTATATTAATGACCCAAACCAATGGGATCAAATAATATAATATAATATAATATAATAACAACATATTATATGACTACGTAATGTAATAACATTATTATATGTTATATCTATATAAATAAAAATGTAATGTTCGTTTGTGAAATTAACATAACTCAAAAAACCACTGGAAAAATTGACACCAAATTTGACCACAAGACACCTACTAACCCAGGGAGTGACCATCACTCAAAAAAAA